GAGAGAAACTGTCACAGGAGGCTGAGCTGTGCGGGAGAGGAGAGTGATGTGAGCGGCCGTCGTCTCTCCTCCCACACAGCTCTGCCTCCTGTGGCAGATTAGGAGAGCGGTTAGTGCTGTCACAGGAGGCTGACCTCTCCTCCCGCACCACCCCGCTCAGCCTTCTGTGACAGATCAGGAGAGCGGCGGTGTGGGGGTGGAGACAGCTGTCAGCTGTCACAGGAGGCTGGGCCAGTGGTGCAAGGGGGAGGAATCAGCTGTCAGAGGAGATCGAGCTCTCCTCCCTGCACCACTCATTCAGCCTCTTGTAACAGCGAGTCAGGATGGAGAGCGGGTACAAACACTCCGCGATCAGCGATCGCTGAATGTTTGTAAATAATTGAGGACATAGTATGTTTACTGTGTCCCCAATTATGAAAGAATGAGAAGTGATCTACATCACTTCCTGCTCATTTATTATTGTGGACATGTTAAACATACTATCTCCACAAGTTATGAATGAACAGAAACGCTCAGTATAGAGGATTCCTGCTCATTTATAACAGGGGCTGCCAAAAAAGAGATTGAGGACTCAATCTCTTTTTCTATTTTAAAAGGGAAATATCAGGGGTCTGTTTAGACCCCTGATATTACCCCAAAAGCCCCCAACAGTAAAGTTAAAAAAAATGTTAATAGAAATAAATAAATTAAAATAAAATAATTTGAAAAATTTGAAAAGGTTAGAAAAATGTTTATTTTCGGTGCTGGCCTGACATTTTTTTATTTTCGGTTTCGGTTATGAAAATTTCATTTCGGTGCACCTCTACTACATAGCCTTATCCTTTACACCCTTTGTTCCTGAATACAAAATGGATATCAAAGCACCAGCAGCCTTGAAGCAAATTCCTTCTTTACTAAAAGCAATATATGTACAATTACTACACTATTTTGCAGTTTAGCATTGTTAAAACATTACTTTAACATTCCAGTCTGCAGCCATTATGCAGATAGAAATATGGCAACTTGGGTGCAGTGTGTACATTCTGTACAGAATGCACCTAGAAATCTATTTCCTTGTCATGTGAACAGATTACAGCTCTTTCCAGAAGCCTGCACACAGCTTCAATCAAATTAGAAGCATGAGCTGCAATACATGTATAAAAGAAACCTGTAAAAACATGTAATTGCCAGAAATACAAAGGATGCCATTGCTTACATGCTTGGAAAAAATGCTAGTTGCATAGCTTTCTCTGGCTTTCTGAGTCACTGACCTGAAACAAGTATGCAGACTTGTTTCAGGTCGGTGACTCAGCCTAAGTTCTACATACTTGATCCAGGTAAGTGACTTAGAATATTTGAAAGCTTTTGGATACACATGACAACTAGGCAACCAGCATTTTGTAGAGCTCAGCAATAGCAGACTGAATATTTCTGTCAGCATCGGTTTGATTGATGAGACACTTTCCAAGACTTTTGTAGATGCTATACCTTTTTTTTTATTATAACACTGAGACTGCTTGGGTGGTGATAAAAAAAAGGCAGATCCTCCAGGACATGGCAAGGCTAACATCAGGTTCTTCAGAACTGAAAAAGTCAAGAATTCACAATACAATTTGCTAAAATGCTTGCAATATTCATCGGAAATCAGCTATCAGATAGTATAAAAAGAAAGAACAAGAAATGATTTATTGTTTCAGTGGAGCAAGGTATACATTGTTGTCCTCTCACCAAAAGTACATGAGCAAACCAGGGACATGCGGTCAGGGGAGGCAGGTGAGGCCGAGCCTCACCTAGTATTATGGAGGAAAAATCTGTCAGCTTCAAGTCTGAAGCTGACAGCTTTTTCTCCATTCGGACCGGCTTCTAACAGGTTACACAGCAGGGAAAGCCTCCCAGCTGTGTAACCTGTTATGGACGGATCGCTGCCTGTTAATTACAGGCCGTGCTTCAACCGGGTTTTGACAGCTAAGTTAGGTTACACAGCAGCGGGCTTCCCCACTGCTTGTATAACCTAACATAGTGAGGCAAGAGCTGCAACAGCCTCTACTTTGTGTTAGAGGCTTAAGCTCTGTGGATGGTTTGGACCAATGGCAAAATGGCATTGGTCCAAGTTGTCCAATAAAAAAAAAAAAAACCCACTGAGGACATTGATCTCGATGCCTCACTAGTGACGAGCAAGTGAGGGATAGGGAGGCTCCTCCCTGTCTTCTCCCTTCCTCCTCCCCACATAGCTTGAAGCTGTCTATACCTATTAGCATGTGCCTTGTCATTGCATATGCATGCAACACACCTGACTGGCTCTCGGCCCTGCTCTTCCCTCTCGAAGCCTCAGTGCTGCTGTATAGGTGATTGAGACCAAAAAAAATTTAGGATTGAACACTGTGTTTTATATCTGGAGTTCAGCTTTAAAAAGCTAAATATGTGGTCTGAGGGGATTGCCCCTGGGCACCCACTAGTCCCCAAGGTAACGCATTTAGATTTAATTGCCTTCACATCATAGCTTTCTTATATATGGACATCTTGCTTTGGATTGAACAATATATATTTTTTCGAATATTGTAAACAGATTGATAAAATCAGACTATATATTTGATGTGTTTTAGGCGGAGGAACTGCTGGATGTTCAATATTTGCAGTTATAATTTGTATTAGATTTTAACACATGTATTTATAAAATTGGACAATTTTAACAGTCTAAACTTTCTATGACCTTTAAAGATTTGTTCACACCACTGCGTTTTTCTGCACACCTCCGCAAATGTATGGTATGAATAATTGGTTTCTATACGCCCTGATTATGTTTAATATTATTCTACAGGATTTATATTGTGCCAACAGTTTGTGAAGTGCTGTACAACATATGGGGAGACAGTACAATTACAATACAATGCCATACAAAAGGATTAGAGGATGCTGCTCGAGAGAGCTTACACTCTTCAAGGAAGAACAAGTGATACAGAAGGTAAACTGTGAGGGAAGAGCTGATTGAAGGACTAGTTGTACAGTTTATAAGAGGAGGTGAGATAGGCTTCCCTGAAGAGGTGAGTTTTCAGAGATGACCTAAAGGCAGACGGATTAGGACATAGCCGAGTAGGTTGGGGTAGGACATTCCAGTGGATGGGAGAGGCTCTGGAGAAGTCCTGGAGGTGAGCATGGGAGAAGGTGATATGGGAGCTAGAAAGCAGGAGGTCTTTGGAGGAGTGGAGAGGACGGTTTGGGTGATATCTTGAGATGAGGTTGGAGATGTAGCCAGGGGCAGAGTTGTAAATGGCTTTGTATGCTGTTGTTAGTATTTTGAATTTTACTTGTTGTGCTATTGATAGCCAGTGGAGATATTGGCAGGGTGGGGTGACAGCCACTGAGCGGTTGGTGAGATGGAAGAGTCTGGCAGCAGCATTCATGATAGACTGAAGGGGAAATAGCCTTTGTAGAGGTAGGCCAATGAGAAGGGAGTTACAGTAGTTGTGAAGAGAGATAACAAGAGAGTGAGGAGCTTTGTGGTGTCATCTGATTTCATCAGAAAAATGCAGTTGAGTAGACATAGTGTGGACAAAAACTAACAGGGTTACTCACAAAAGGGTGAAGAGTTTGGAGAAGACAGGAGAAGTGAACAATCTAGGCCAAAATAGCTGATCTGGAAAGATTCTCCAATTCAGCTAACGTTCCAGTTCAGCTATGTTGTCCTATATTGGTCACTTCTCGCGCCTTCTCCAAACTATTCACCCTTTTGTGAATAACCCTGTAAAAGTCCCATTAAGCTTCTCTTCTTCTTTACTGCTTCATTTGTCAAGGATTGGTACACCCAAAAGGGTAGAATTTCTCATTGTGCTGACTTATCATTTATTCATAGGGCATGATGTTTTTTAAACTATGAATCCTTACAATTAATCAAGTTTGAGTCTGTCACCAATGCCCTCTTGTCAACTTTTGTCAGAATGTGGCAACTTTAAAATTACTTATAATTAAAAATGGACATAATGAACATACTTTTTTTCCCCTCAAAATGGCTGATTGGGGGGGCACAAAAATGTATTTGTTATTATTTATTCACAATCAAAATAATAGAAGACTGGTTAGCAGGGACGTGCAGTCAGGGGAGGCAGGTGAGGTGGAGCCTCACCTTTATTATGGAGGAAAAAGCTGTCAGCTTCAAGGCTGAAGCTGACAGCGTTTTCTCCATTCAGATCGGCTTCTAGCAGGTTACACAGCAGGGAAAACCTCCCCGCTGTATAACCTGTCATTGACGGAGAGCTGTTAATTACAGGCATCGCTGCATCTGGCTTTTGACAGGTAGTTAGGTTACACAGCAGCGGGCTTCCCCACTGCTTATGTAACCTAACTATTGAGGCAAGAGCTGTCACAGCCTCTACTCTTTGTTAGAGGCATGAGCTCTGTGGATGGCTCGGACCAATGGCAAAGCGCCATTGGTCCAAGCTGCCCAATCAAAAAAAGAAAAAAAACCCACTGAGGCCATCATTCTCGATTCCTCAGCAATGACGAGCAAGGGAGGGACAGGGAGGCTCCTCCCTGTCTCCTCCCATCCTCCTTCACACTAGCGTAGGGACCAAGTTGGGGTGGGGCTTCAGCCGGCAGGGGAGGGGCTTGGGCCGGCGCGGGGGGCTTCGGACGGCAGGGAGGGGTGGCACGTGCTCGGGGCGGGGCTGGGGAATGCCTCACACGGAACCAGAGGTACCGCACGTCACTGCGTTAGAAAGCAAAACCCATGTCCTCCTGTATGCAATCAAAGAGCAAACAAATCGTGACCTGAAAGTTGTGCAAATGAGAATGACTTATTAGACACCTACGCCTCATAATACAATGTGCCAGGGAATATGTTTCTTTGACAACAATATGGTGTCTCGCTTCTGCTCTTTGGACAGACTGTGTAGCTATTCATTGCTCTTTGCTGCACAACTGACAATACTTGTATTAGTACATGTGTATATGTGACACATCAAAAAGAGAATTTGGAAAATTGTAATATATTAAATCTCTGTTGCGAAAACTGCAAGTTCCTGCCTTTATATTTCTTTACAAAATATATATTTTATAACATAGCACTGAAAAACTGTTTGCTTCTGAACATGCTCAATATTATTTCATTTCAACCCAATTAACAATCAATGTCAAAGGAGCTTATACAGCTGAGATTAAGTCAAAAAGGCCAGAGTACATCATGCTGATATACTGAATGAAAGGTTGCTTCATAACTAGCCCGGGGCCAGGCGCTAATTGATTTAATCAGCCCATGAGAATGAATCATGACGTCCGCTATTTATATATTGCTGTTATTCTAACATTACAAGGCAGAAACGCTGGTTTACACCGAAATGAATGAACTGTGTATCATGAAGTCATACTTGCAGTTACAGCCAAGAAGTGAGTCTACACTTTAATGGTCGCCATTGGACTTTTCATAAGTAAAAAACAAAGTCTTGCCAATTTTTCTGATGTTTCATTGCTTAGCATGATTGCAAGACATATGAATAAGAAACAAAGAAACTCTTGATGAAAACAGAAGATACATCCAAACAGAAGGTACATCCAGGGAAACTTTGAATCCAGACTGTAAAACCTCTTTCCCACGGTAGTCCAATCCTGGCAAACTCGGTGTCTTGGGTATATTGACTTTTCAAGTCCAGTCTTGTGCCTTTCCATCATGTAAGCCTTGTTTTGTGAGTCATATGATTTGATTGGTTCATAAATGATTGTTTTTCGAAAGATAGGCTATAAGAGCTACAGCCACTCCAACATATATTCCTGTTCCTATAGTGATGGATAGTACCGCTAAGAAGAGTGCTCGTCGGGAGCTGGAACTTGCTTGATGAAAATCACCTTTGGCTACCGCTTTGTTTGTCTGTAATTGAGAAAATAAACAGAAAAAAAAATTGTAAATGCAACAGAATAACATATTTTAAATCAAAGATTACTTCAATGTTAGCTATAGGATATTAATTATGTGAAAATTCATAATTCAGAAGATGCTTTGAAAAGGTGTTTAAAGAACCATAACTGATGAATAATTAGTAGAGGATGTGTCAACATAGCAAGGTCGTAGATAAAAAGGTACATCAATACCAAGACAATGGAAGTATTACTCTTTCATAAACCTCTAATAAAAAAATAATAATACCCTTTATGATTCTGAGATGTTTTTCAGTGTCAATGCTTTAAAAAAAATATGCCTATGCCACGCCCCTAGACATTCAACCAGCATTTAAAAAGATGAGACTATTGGAGTTAATTTACTAAAGTTTAGGGAATGAACTGAAGCTCTGCTGACTTCCATCTTCCAATCATGTGCAAGCAAAAAAAAGTTTTTATTTTCCTTGCACATGATTGGGTATTCTTAATAAAGATAAGGGGAGCTTCCCTGAAAAGTACAATTTTCCTTGCAAAGTAAACAGCCTATTTACCTTTAGTAAATCAACCCCAATGGATTCATCATGATCAAAAATTACATTTCAAATATTTTTTGGGAGTCTGAAATTGTCAACAAGAATAATTCCTTATTAGAAGTGTCTCAAATAAAGCATGACTAAAATATTTACATATTTAGGAACAATATACAACTTTAAGCTAAATAGCAAGTTTATTTCTACATAACTATAAACCAGACTAAATGCACTGTCCCTTTAAAACAGAATCAATAGAGTGGTATGTATACATGGATGAATTTGGTATGGGGACACACTGGGGACTTCAGCTGCCATTGTGATGTACTAAGCTTCTGGTGTGTCCTTATGCCTTTAAGGAGGAATGGGCTGCCTTCTGCCAATCCTGCAGCCAACTTACCATTTGCATTATATGCTCCAATATGGAGGCTCTCATAGATTAGAGTTAGGACTGCACTACACAGAGGGGCCTTGATAAGGCAGTGTGACTTAGACATATTTTGCAAATATTGTGCAACTAAAATCTCTGTTTTTAACCCTAATAGGTAGGCAGTGTCATTTGTTTGCAGGCTGGCTGGTAAGACTGGAAATCCCTTCCATGTGCACCTTACTTTAAAAGGCAAGCAGAAAATCATTTTTTTTTTTACATTAATGGCCGTGCCCTGTAAAACAACTATCTTCGCCACCAAAATGTCTGAAGTATGGCTGACCTTTCTTGATATGGCTTTAAAAATGTTGAGAATTTGTTACACCAGCTGGATAGTCACAAATGTTGGGGATAATGCCGTCAAGTGGAGAAATCTCATGGAACGGGGAAAGTATTTTCCCACTATACTGTACAGTCTTAAAGTCTTCCTCTTTCCTAGCTTCCTCATCTACAGAATATCTATTACATTACATCTATATGTCCAGAAAATTATATCCTATAGACATATGAAAAGTGATTAGGGAGGGTAGTGATGAAACAGTATTTCTCTTCAATACAGTCGACTCTTTCTGCCTCTTAAAAAACACCTAGTGCTGATATATATAATTAGCACATTACTCACCCTGTGCGCCCATGGCTCCTGCACTGGAAATGCTAATCACCTACCCCTCCTCCCAGACTGATAAGCAGCCACAACTGCCCAATTACTTTTGGGACCAATAAACTCCAGGTACTCATAAATATATGATTTTCCCATCTCCAACTGATTACATCTCCCTTTCACGACTGATGGCCAGTGCCCTACCCTATACTCATGAGCAGCATTTCCCAGCCATTTGAATAGCACCCATGACCTTCCCCACAGAACTACTCATGTCTCCTCTTTACATTGGAGGTCACCTACAAAAAAAATCTGTATGCTAAATTTCCCTTTGAGTGTTTATCAATCACAGCTATTTCTAATAAATACCAATAATATGCCCCTGACAAGGTTATATATATATAGATCTATATACAGTATATACACACACACAATACCTTGATTTTTTTTTTATACATTCTAACTCTGCATATTTTAACACCCATTTACTCTCCAGGTTTATCATTTAACCACTGGGCACACTTTTATTAGTTTACTATAAAATGTTCTAAGACTCATCAGCACAGCAATCTCTAAATGTCTTTATTTTATAAAAATGCAGAGAAGAGAGAAGAAAACTACCTAGTCCTTTGTGATATTATGTTATAATGCTATCAATTATTAACATATGTTAATAATTTAGCATTATACAATATGGAATTCAGAACCTTTGCATTTTTTTCCTCTTCACTACCATAAAACAACACATTAAGGGAAACATGCACCTTCCCTAAATAATTTAGAACTTTGTAATTGCTACAGATTCTGTAAGTTAATACATATAAATGAGGAGAGGTGCCTATTGTACACAATATCACGTGAGGCATCACAGCAAGAACTATGTGAAATCCTGGGAGTCATGTAGATGTCAAAGGCAATTTGTGTTATAAAATATACTCTATGTGTGTAACAGGTAGCTTTTTTATAAATAATGTAAAGGGATGACCTAATGCATTCAGAATAATCTTATGATAAATTGAATACAATCTTCTGGCTAAAGACCCTCTTCTTCCAGCAGTGTAGGGTGGAGGAGTCTGCAGGCACCCTATCATGTAGGGACACTGTGCAGAACTAGTGGGAGCATTGGGGAGACTGGTCACCCAACATAGAGATAGCCAGCTTGGGTGACTGTTCTCAACAGGAAAGCTGACTCTAGCACAGTTATAAGGCAGCATTTCCTGATTTATTTTGAGAATAAAGGAACCAGGGGCATCTTAAAGTGGGAGCCCTAAAGTAAACCTAAATACTTGCCTCCTCTAAAAAAATTGTTAAAAAAAT